GGCGTTGAGTATTTTCTTTCGGGGACCGTGACAAATGATTAGCTGCTTTTCACTTGCTGGGAAACATGTGCCCAACGTTGCACATCTCTTAAAATTGCAGCAGGCAGAACAGAAGCAACTCCTGATACTCCTGGCCGTCCATTCAGCATGACGTAACGACCAGCTCCAGTTTGCCGGTGTTTCCAAAGCTACCCCAAATACTGATGTGTCTTCTCCAAAAACTGGCTTTGAAAAGATAAGCAGGTCGCGATGAATGTTTCTTCAGTTGTAACATATCCGTCTGGACCGCGCACTTTGTTTGAAGTTTTTAATCGCTGAAGACGACCTCAACGGGGAATAAGCCTAGCTACTACAAACGCATCGGGATTTCGGCACTAAAATCCCGTTCACTTCGGTTGTACACATGATAAATTGAGGAAGAGTCAAATTTTCTCGAGAAAATTCAGGTGTTTCATGGTTTCTGCATCCATGTGAAAAGCAGAAGTCTTGAGCTCAGTGTACAATACAGCGGTACTGTACCGTCCATTGCCTATTAACTGTATTGCACAGTTGAGTAAAAAAGAACACAATTGAATGAGAGAAGTAGCATTTGTAGTAACCAGATCAATAGTATCTGGTAGTAGTTCTCATACTTGCATACTGATATAACTTGTGATAATACTAGTTCTAAACCGCATAATAAGTTGTCATTTTAACTTCAATGTCACCAAGTTTCCTCACTATGATAATGACATTTCTGACACCAGTTAGGCTTTTGTTTTATACGTGGAAACATTGAGAATAGCCAGAGATTTGAGAAAGGAAAATCGCGGAATTATTGAATACCATGCCGTTGCTCATTTCCGTGCGGAAAAGGATATAATATGCGGTTGGGAACACCTTAAAATAGAGCTCCCCATAACAACATAAGTAACACTCCGGGTGGGAAAGCTGTTTCTGAGCTTCTCTGTTAGTAGCGGGAATAGACCGGTGCGTCAGAGATTGAAATGTCAGCTAGCGGTGCTACCTAAGAACCTTGGTTGCAACATCTTCAAACGCTAAGAAAAGCTTCATTCATATAAGAAAATGTCGAACACGTTAGTTAGACGAAAATAGTCATGCTGGTATTAGTAGTTCTAATCCGCTTCATATACAAGCAAGAAAGCTTTCTGATTCTCTGAACGGACAATTCAAGAACGAATGATTCAGTCGTGACGAGCTTCTTATAAACTTCCTTCCTCAATCGGAATTGCCTCTACAATCGTTAAAGTGTTACCGCGGGCTTTATGATTTATTCTATCCCTCTTCCCCTCCTACCTTGCGCCGTCTCAGGGCTATTCTTATCAGCCGACTCCCTTCTATCTACAGAATCTGCTACCGTCAATTCAGCTTCGGCAAGCTCTTTCTTGATCACGTTCCGCCACAACTTCTTTGGAACTACCCGTGGTCGTTCCCCTTTAACCTTGGCCCCAAACTTCATGGTACGTATTCATACCATTGTAGATGCAGCCTGGGATCTTGAGCTGGACAGCATCTGTTTGCATGACCTCCCTGAAATGTTTACATCTGACCTGGCTCAGTCGCGTCTAACCACTGATCCACCAGAGCACATTTTTCCAGCAGAGTGGAGCTGTCTTTCATGTTTTTACGTGAGGTCGGCGCTTGCTGCTGTAGAGCATCGTGGGCCTCACCACGACCCGGTACACCTTGCCTTTGAGCGTCAGGAGCATCGCTGGTCGCACAGAATACCAGCGACTACCTCTAGGTCATCCATGCTGCGTTTATTCGGGCTTCTACAGATGGTACACACCACTATCAGCGGTTAGGTCACTTCCCTTGTATCAAAGTCCTATATCCTTCCGATGGCTTCCCAACACCATACACAATTGACTCCGTGCAGTTCTCGGAACTTAGTAAGTTGATCTTCTTCACACTAAGCCAAAGCCCATTGTCCTCCAGTACTTAGAGCCAGCCGTTGTCTCATCATGGGAACTGTTCTCACGGTAGAATTCTCCGTTTGGGAGCCTGTCGGAGTATCTTATCCAGGTACGCCTGACATTACCAGGCTTCCTCACTTGCTTCCGTGATGCACTGCTTCTGTCTTTTACAGTCCCCACTGCCCCGATGTCTTGAATAGCGCTGTATGTTGCTTTGTACGACCGAAAGAAGAACTTTACTCTTCTCAGCCATCGGGTATCTCGTACAGCACTTCGGTATTATTTGCCTTTCGTAAAACAGTCGTGGCGTGCCGGTATTCTTTGCCTTTCGTAAAACAGTCGTGGCGTGCCTCTTGCGAACCCGGTAGATGGCTAGTTCTTGTAAGGGTTTCGTCTTCTGTCAAGGTTGTATGTGTCCCTTTTCTGTTTTACAATTCGCTGAACTTCATCGTTTCAGAACCACGCTGCCCTGTCATCTCAGTCCACTTCGAGTCTACACACCATTTCCTAGCCTAGCGCACTGAAGGATGACCTCAATAGCGTTTTTCAAGTCTGTTGGAGCGATTTATGAGGATCTAGTAGGCCAGCTTCTAAATCTTCATTGCTCCTTCTTTTGCTCCAGTGCAGCTCACCACTGAAATCTCCGCTCCGTTCTTGTCCCTGGTTTTTCAGGAATCTCAGTGGTCAGAAGTATATCCTTTACTACTCCGTGGCCCTCGCATCCTTCACAGGACTCGGGCAGTGTTCGCCACTTCTGGGTGACATCTTAGTTTCCGAACTGGTCCTTTTAGAAACTTCTGACATGGCTTCGTGATAAGGCTTCTTCATCAGAGGCCCTATCAGGGTCTGAAGCTGCTGTCAACGTCATTCTGCAAACTTTTGAGGAGTGGTCATTGCCTTCGCAGGGATCGAACTCACACTTTCTGCAAGCAGATGTGAGCCTACATTTTCAAACACTCGGCTATCACTGATTTAAGATTCATTGCGCCAGTTGGCTAATTTGAAAATTGCTGTGGAACCGGCTGCAAGAAGTATCGTGATCAATAATCGAGTAAAACCGCGAGGCTTCTTTCCATGCAGGCCAAGAAACATAGTTTGCGATAGGTTGCGCGAGTCAAATGCCCTAGACCCATGGAGTACGAATTATACCAAAGTAGGCATGAGGCCACAGTGAACTGCGAATCTAGAAATCTCTATGAGAGCTCCTATCTATGAAATGGCTGGGAGAGTGTATATGAATAAACTCAATACAATCCCTATATAAGATCGCATCTCAGGTGAAGCTTCGAATCAGTTTAAAGAGTCGAGCTACAGCATTCACTGCGAACAGATTGCGTAGATTGGGAGGAGGCACGGTTTTTTGTTCTCTTATCAATGAAGTGGTGAGCTGGGCGGTCTACGGCATCTATGAGGCTGTGAGATAATATTCCAAATAAGTTATGATCGATGTTCATTCCTTCGGACTACAAAAATATTTATCTTGTGTGATAGCAAGCAGTAAGCGTTGTTCACAACATTGTGTTCAAAACAACCAAACACAATTAAGCAACTGGATTTCGAAAAATCTTGTTAAGGACTTGCTGTACTCGTTTAGTCAAATTGTATGGAATTTCTTATCGGATACTCGGTGAATCTCAAATTCAGGTAGTCCAGTAGGTATATATCCTCATTTCGCATTTTACTTCATACGAAAAAGCAGCTAAAGACATGCTACATCGTTTGGTAATACAATAACAGATTTAGCTCAGTCTTGTGCAGTTGGCAAACACGAAATTGCCTTATTCTATCAGGTCGTTTGAAACGTGTATATTCCTGCACTCTTCTGGGAAAAATTGGACAGATTTCATTTCAATTTATAATTTTAGAATTAGTCCAAACATGGAGAGTCATATGGAGCATGTCGGTATATTTAACTTTTTTTGCTTCTATCTTGATTAAAAATTTCTAGTGTTGTTCTTGATATAGGCAAAACATAAGGTGACAATGTATTATTACAGAGCGCATGTGGACACTGGTTCACAACTTTTTTTCCCTACAATTTATCACTCTAAGTTGGGCTGACCAGTTGGTATTGATAATGGTCTTTTGATGGTATTAACTTAAGCCGACCTTCATGTAATTCCATATAATAATATACCGTAAGTATCAGCGCATCCAAGGGAATAGTTGACGACGTTTGACTGATGTCAAAGCTGGATGTTCAGGCGTCACATGAGCTGAGGATACACTCAACGCCGTGAGTTTGTGCCTGCGATTTGCACTTGGAACGCAATGGAGACCACCCATCTATGAACCTCATGCTGGTTGCTGGTGAAAGTTGGAATGCTTAAGATAATTTTACTCATAAACGATCACGTTAAATTCTCGAAGAACCTGTTCAAACGAGGTACAAAGCTGATCTTCGTCAATAGAAGGTCACAACACCGACTTGGTGGGACGACAAAGGTGAGATATGTAAGGTCCCTCCTTAGAGACTTTGATACTACACCAAATAAGAGTGGCTCCAGTTACGACTGTCCGACGAAACAATGAATTACGAGTTTATTTTAACACAAAAATACGATCAATAAAAACAATGAACAGTTGAGGAGCAAGAGATGTAACAAAAAGGTCCATTAATGGGTCGAGCACAAAGAGAACCCCGAGGTGGTCCAGCCGTAGAAGAACTTGGCCGCTTAGGCCTTCCTTAATATCCTGATCGCACTTATTTCACGAGTCACTGGGGCTCCTCGACCATCCTACTCCTATCTAATTCTATGCCCGCTTTGGCCTGTTTCGATGCTTTCGTTTCATCAACTATAGCGGTCAGTGTCGTTCAGCTCTCATGCAAGGCTTTCGTCGCTTCCTCCCACTCTCCCTAGCCTTTTCCCATCTCAGAACCCCATAGATTGCTCACCTCCTGAGGTGGGCTACTCTCATTTCCTATTGGTTCACCACTATCGTGAACCATTCCCGAAAAACTACCATCGGTTGCTTCTAAAAGCATGGTGGCAGTTGATTTCAGACGTTGCGCGCTTTCAATGCAACACGGTACCCTTACTTTACGATACTTAGCACAACCGGCTCTCCAAATCTAGCCCGAAAATGATCCTCGACGCAAATGCCTGGACACTCGCAACTGAACCACAGCAGATTCAGTGCACCGGTTTGACCTCCATGTAAGATCCCTCCTTAGGAATTTCGATATTGCATCGAATAGAAATAGCTCCAGGTACGACTGTCCGACAAAACACAAGATTTACAAGTTCACTGTAACACAAAAAATACGTTCAACAAGAACAAGGAACAGTTGAGAAGCAAAAGATCTAACAAAAAGGTCCACAAATGGGTCGAGCACAAAAGGGAAACGCGGGGTGGTCTAGCCGTGAAGGAACTTGGCTACTTAGGCCTTCCTTAATGCCCTGATTCCATTTATCTCACGAACCACTGAGATTCGTCCCACCAGCACTCAATAAAGGTGCTAGAATCGTCGGGGGAGTCGTAGGGCACGGAGTTCACAAGCTCCGGGGGAAAGGCAGTTGGCGGCGGGTGATGAAAAACTAATGACGTCCTCTCTCTCTCGGGGTCCCCTTCTATACAATTCTTCGCGCGCCTCTTCTTTCCTCAGGCATGTTTACTACTGCGACACCCTCGCGCCTGATCATCAGATCAGTTACGTTCATCTGATGACCACCAACCCTTCAGTGTTTTGATCTCCCAGGGCATTTCTTTATCGACGGGACCCCACCTAGGCGGTTCTCTCTGTCCCTTTCTGACATATATAGTGTGAAGTGCTTCTAAGGAACCAGCATGTCAACAAGCACCTCCACTCATTAAAATTTCAAGAAGCAGTTAAAAAATGCCCAACAAAACTAGTGGTCGCAAAGGAGTACTCTAATGCTACGGAGAGGTCAGATTGAATACATTTTTGGAGTCTTGGCAAAAATCATCAAAGTATGGTTGGAAATTGATCCTTCATCTACCATATAGCCCTGATCCTGCGCCACCCAAACTTCGGTAGCTGCAGAAGACCTATAGTGGAAAAACATCAACAGAAGACCGAATCTCATGTGGTTCAGTTTTTCGGCCAAAAAGCGGAGCTCAGCAAGGTTACTACTGCATATCATTGATTAAAGTTGGTTCGGAAAAATTGTTCTGTTAAACGCTCAAAATTCCAAAATGATTTTCGAACCACCCAACAATCGCTGCCTGATGGGAGACGTTCAAACTATGCTAGTGATACTCCTCAACCTTCCGAAGAATTCTTTGGGGTGGGGGGGGGGGGGGGGGGGGAGCATTGAAGATGTTAATTTAATACACCCAAGAATTGAAGTAGGAACCTGAGGTAGGTTCCAAGGTTGCTCAAAACCATTTTTAGCTCAAGGCAATGTCAGTAGCAGTTGAAACAATAGCTTAGATTTAAAATACGTTAAAATTTGAAATGTATTTGTGGAGAAGGCGCTCCTGAGGAGAAGAGGAGGACGTAAATCGTTTCTGCACCGAAAGCTGCGCAGGTAATAACATTTCAACAGTTAACAAAAAAAACAACAATTCCTAACCTACGACGTTTCGAATATTATTTCGCTCTAAGCAGCGTCACAAGTCAGCTTGCTCAAGACAAGTACCTTTCGTCAGAACCGCAAGAGAATGAGAGCCATTTTCGCGATAGGATTTGAGCTGTCTATTCTAGTCTATGAGTTGTTAAGAATCGACCAACAGTCCTGCTCACAATTTACTGGAGACATTCGTTCTTACCGTGTATAATTGGTATTCCGAGTCCACTTCCAAGTACTCAACGTTCCAATTAAGTCATCACATTGCTTATCCTTTTCATGGTGAGTTTTTTTTGAGTAAGATCGGCAGTAGTTTAGGAACGCCAGTCACAGGAACGAAACAAATCACGGCACACGTCCTCGCGAAAAGACTTGACACTTTCGAGTGTGAACAACGATACCTTGTGATCACACTCGCTGGAGATGGTAAGCGCTACCGCCAAGTACTAGTAGCTCAACATTGTTCTCTGCATGAGTAGCCACCCGCCATTCCCAGAATTTGTTGTAGAGAACGGTGGAGCAGAAAAGAGGCAAGCATATCAGTGGAGATTCATTTTCGTAAGACCGTTGCTGAGAGGACGAGCATTTTGTTCTTTCACAACCCATTTCAAACAGCTCCTTGGCAGAGAAGTCGTCTTTGCTATATCTTGACTTTCCAGCCACCCAGAAAATAGCTAGCATGAGCTTGACAACTGAAAATTTTTTATGGCTCGGCGGCTTACTACTAAGCTTCATGAGAGCTTTTCTTCTGCTTCTCCAAGGCCTACTAGATGAATTGTTCAGCGAATCATTCCTTCTGAATAAGAGTCACTGACGTTTTGATCCAGAAGAAATAATCGAAGGAAAGAGAGAAAAAAAGAAAGAATAAGCCCCTTTTTTGAAGGACACCTTGTCCTTGCGGACCCTGGAAGTTTATTTAGAGGTGGTCGGCCCTGGTAAAATAAAGCGCTATTGCACCGCTTGTGCACTGTTGCCTCGACTGTGGCCCCCTCAATCTGCCGTAAGTTGTGATGGCCGTAAAATAACAACTTAATAAATGATGGTTGTTAGATTAGGGTAAGTATGGCAATTTTCTCCGGTCACAGCAATGTATAATATCAGAATATGTAAGGTAGCTTAACACATTTTGTTGTGGTTACGAGTGCTCGAAAAACTTTGGACGAGATTCAGTATTTGGTCGGTTCTAGGGTGCGGCAGATAATATGTCCGCGAAGGGTCTCGCTTATTCTCCTTCTACAAGTTCAAGCTGAATAGGTATGCAATGGAGCAACTCGGAAAATAACGCTATTTGGGAGCGAACAGAGCACCACTGAAGGCGAGGTACACCGCTGATTCTGAAGGCACTAATGTAACAGTATGAATGTCTAAGTTATGACAATTCGTGGTGGCCCTTCTGAAGCTGGAGAATAGGTGCTGCATGAGCGAGCACCAAAAAGCCCACAGTTTTGGGCTGCTCAGCGCGTCTGTAGCGCTGCAAGAAGGAATCATTATTCCACAACTTTGTTACGTGCGATGAGGACTGGATCATGCATGTCTAAAGGAAGCTTTCTGCTCAATAGGCAGACAAGCATGAATATCGGAGCACTGCTAGACTACAAAAATACATCCGAAAAAGGATGTAGTGATTCTAAGGCGGTGTGCCACAGATGTATCAGTATACGGCTTCAAAACAACTGCGAAAAGCCGGACGGAATGCTTGGAGACTACAGCCTTGCCCGGCGTGAGAGAGCGGGAAGGGCCAGATTCCTCTTCACGACCCCTTTCAAAGGTAACGCAACCGAACGAAATATGTCATGGAACTCGGCCCTGCTCACCTTATTTGCCAGTTTCTGATTGCCACTCTCCAAACATTTGGAAAACGAGCACGACTTGGAATATAAGGTCTTCCAGAAGCAGGTTTGTGCCGCAAACGACATCCGAAAGGTGGTGTGCACCAAAAGCTCGGACTGTTATGTAGTAGAAATAAGCAGACTTGTGTCGTCTCGTTGACGAGGACGCATGGACTGCAACGGTTCTGCTTTCGATTGCTAGAGCCGAACCAGAGACGAGTGGTAAAGTTCCCAAATTGAGTGTCCCGAATAGTGCACTATTCATGCACAAGCTTCATGAAAAAAATTTAGTCTTTTGTTTCCTATCGTTACCCCATTATAGAGCCTGCCCCATTGCATAGAGACATTCTCGATTGTTCCGACTCCTGCAGTACTGAATGCAATATTGCAGAACTCAGTCGACGGCCTCATATAATAGCCACATGGTTACAAAGCGGCGTTCATATTCTATGTATAACATATCTCTTCACTCCCAATCATCCAGTCATTTCAGAGCGATACGATCGCGCAACCCAACAGGTGATCGATATCCACGTAGAAAACATTGAGGCAGAATATCTTCTTTCCGATCGCAACGACTTAACAGGTACTTTTTATCGGATTTGTTTTCGTTTTTTGTGTAGTGTTGAGTACAGCGTTGAACAAGTGGTTTGAGGCAAGCTGGTGAACTCTGTGAAAGAAGCATTCCGAGGAAAGGATGTTTATCCATACGTTTATTGCATTCAGCCAGGTTTACAAATGCCAGCGGGGAAGGAACATCTATTTGGACTTCAGAAAACAGGGTGACTTGCTTTTTACATTGCATGAGATCTCGAGCGGTATATGTACTACTATGTAAAATTCTACTTTTTCAATGGTAGTCTCTCGTTCTCGTTGACTTGTGTAGGGTCTTTTCCCGACTTGTCTTTTACGCGTAAGTGAGTTCCTCGATAGATCCAAACCGCCGAAGGTAGATAGTCTCAGCCTCTGAACACGACTACTTCGAAGATTCCTTTGAGACCGATCTGCTCACTTTCTATTTTACATATTGTGGCCAATTCAATGCCAATCAGTCTCGCTCCTCCTCATTTTTGTCGGTAATGTATCTTTGCTACCCCGCTGTGGACCAAAGAGTGCACCTTCATCTCTTGCTCAGTGATCAATATCATGGGCGAAATATCAAAACGCCGTGGAAACCAGTGATTACGGTTCTATTTTTTTGCTTTCCATGTATTTGATCTTGTGGATCTTGTATGGCAAATGTTGGAAACTAACAGATAACTTAATTACTACGTATGTTCATAGCGGAAACTTCTCGTCTTGAAGAGCATTCAAAGACATAAAAATTAAAGTGCATCTCAGGACGGGCTTATCGTTGTGAGATCATGAAGAATATCACAGTGTTTTTCACTTGTGCGGCACAAGGATGCTCTACGCTCTGCGAAAGAAGAAGGAATCATTTCAGAAGTACAGTGGTTTGGGTGTTGTTTTCCGGTTGAGTTCTTCAAGTGGAGAACAAAAGAGAATAATGGGAAATAGTTATGCGATTCACAATAGGAGTGGGTTCACGTTACGTTTCTCAGGGGTGATAACGTCGGAACTAGAAACTGCGTCATCTAGAAGTCCATTTTTCAGCGCTTGGTCTCCACCACGATAATGCAAATCAATATTGTTGTTGTTGTTGTCGATCTCTTGCATATCTTTTTCCTAGCCTTACCTACTCTGAATGCTTTTTTATGACCGAAATCGTGTCTAAACGGCATCTGTATTTGAGGGTGTTATTATTCTTGTTCCATTGATCTCTCTTGTTCTTCACTTGAAGAACTCAACCGGAAAACAACACCCAAACCACCGGACTTCTGAAGGATGTTGATGTCGAGGGCAATGCACTTTTGTGAAGTGGCGTGGGCTGATAAGTAACGATGACGAACTTGAAAAAAATCTGCAGGAACAGTTCAAGCGTGGCAGAATATCATATAGTTTTGGAACGAGTAAGCTGACCGACAATCCTGAAAAATTCACCAAAAACCATTTGGTGTGAATCCCGGTGCGTAATTTACTTTCTATGCTGAAACACCCTCAAATACAGATGCCGTTTAGACACAATTTCGGTCATAAAAAAAGCATTCAGAGTAGGTAAGACTAGGAAAAAGATATGCAGGAGATCTTGCTTCTGTGGAAATGAAGTTCGGATTAGAAACAGCAAGCCCGACACCGGTTACCTGAAAACTACCATGTGATCCAGAAAGAAAGGAACTTGTTGCCAAGTAAAAGCTAAGTTCTTTCATTAAAATAGGAAAAGCTCATCACAGCCATGTAATTGTCGGTTAAATGCAAAGGAGCCAGAGTTAAATGCAAAGGAGCCAGAGGCAGTTATGTGTGAGTTGTAGGAAACTCGAAATGGTCCGAGAATGAGTCCTTGCTCTCCGTCTTACGTGAGCTCTTTTCTTGGGAAGTTTTCAAGTGATCTAATCCTTTCAACACTGGAATTGCCAAGCGGCTACTCGGAACTAAAGAGAGAGAGAGGGAGAGAGAGACAGCAGATGATTTCAAATAAAGGTAAGTAGTCTCCACGCCAGAGATTTGCTCAGGAACGGTGCCTCCTGGGCCGAGCGCAAGTCTCCAAACATTCCTATATGCAAGCTGACATTTTGGCAGATCACCGGCTCGAATGCCGTTATTCAGGCTTACAATTGTTTCAGTCCGAACGCGTAGAAGACCACCAATCGAGCTGAAAAGCTATGACCTAGAATCTTTTCCTGTGAAAAGAAAAAGGAACGTTGATCAAGATGCCTCAAGTGAACCTGTATAAGCAAAATTAGAGCTTGAATTGCTCGAAGCAAAACTAGAATTAGAATCACTCGCAGAACATCATGAGTCAGAATTGCTCAAAGGGGCAAGCTAACTGGGGAGAACTCAATAACAACTGAACAAGATTCGGATTGACTAGAGGGATCAGGAAAGGAAAGAAAGGAATATATTGAGAAAACAGTTTACCTCAGAACAGAGGACTAATAAAAGGATAAAGGATAAAGTCTTCCGACGTGAATCAATCCCGTCTTAGGCATGCGACCCAGCATTCGACTTCCATTCAGAATCGTAGTGGCGTAATGAATGAGTGCGTGACCTATACAATGACTAGCAGTGGCTTGCCGATGTACAAGTTAGCGTTTTTTTCTCCCACACGAGTCTGGTACAAATTAACCGACCCCTGAGACACGGAAGGCTTGGTTGGTCTATGCGAAAATCGATCGGGGACTCGAATCCGCGACCGTGGAGGGATATAGTGCGCCACTTGCTACTACACCACCTTCGTACAAAGGAATAATAAGTGATACAAGAAATACAGTTAGCGGAAAGAAGTAGAGTGGATGACTTTGCGCTGGAGAACAAATATTAATAGAAGTTCTTGAAAAATGTGAAGAAGAATATGTGTGCCTAATCGTTTCTCCAGAAAAATCTCCAACTTATCATTATGCTTTTTGAGTTCTTCAATGCGAGGAAACTCGCAAACCTTGTCTTTTTTCTTTCGCTTGCTTTGATGTTTTTTGACGTGTTTCAGTTCTTACAGGTGGGCATAGTAGCCGCAGAGAGCAAGGCAGAACGAACACGAAAAGATGGCAGTACTTGCGACAATTCGTCCCAGGTTATAAGGACGAGTCTCATTAAAGAACAAATGTGGAGGTGTTGCTATTCTTGTTAAACACTGAGTATTCCCTACTTTGGTCTTCAATGAGCTGATATCTGGCGAATATGAAATAATTGCTGCTGTCTGTGGCGTAGAAGGCAACAAGTGGAGGGTTGTAGAGAGGCTCTAGCTGCTTAAGTGATAAGGGTCAAAGCTTATCAAGTCTATAAGCGACCTTTGTGTCACACTAATATTTGCTCGCTCAGTGAGGACTCCAACTTCCCGGATATTGATTGGGCACTTACTGGTTACCAATATGAAGGTGTTTGACAGAAGTTTTTGAACATGGTAAAAAATCGTGGATTCCACCAGTTCATGTCTGCTGAGACCAGAGATGGTAGAATTCTTTACCTACTATTTTGTAATGAGAAATCATTCGCTTCTAGAGCAAGGATCGACCTCCCTTTGGGTACAAACGAACACGCGGAGGGCCGTGTTGTCGTTAGGCGCGATTTCGAGAAAGCTGACTCCAAGAAAATCCTGTCCTTTTTGACTCCGCTTACTCTAATGGCTCTTTCGGGGGTCTGAATGTTAACGATATGTGCGAAACATCCATTTTTTATTCTCCAATACAGTATTGATAGTTTTGTCCCGGTTAGGAAGGTTAGGCTGCGTAAGGCGGCAATCCCCTCGTTTCTACATTCTCTCTATCTTCGAGAAGAAGGTAAAAGCGTGGCGCAAGAAAGCAGTTCTATCAAACTACATTGTTGGCTGGGATTCTTATGAAGTTATAGCATCACGGTTTGAAGGCAAGATGGACAAGTACTGCTTTTCAGTTGATAGAAAAATCATAGAAAACAAGAACAAATCTGCTCTCTCCAAATATATTTCATTTCGACGCAAGCCTAAAGAAAAACTTCCTGCACTTATCAAGCCCGACGGGTTTGGTGTGGACTTTGATGCCGATAAGGCGGAATGCTTCGCTGATTTTTTTGAAAGCATCTCTACCTCTAATAATATCAATGCTAGTGTCGATTTGATGGGGGATTATCCAGATTTGATGGGGGATTATCCACAAATGGAAGACCCCAACTGGCTCGAAGAGCAGGAGATCTTTGGCATTTTATATGACTGGAAAACCAGCTCGTCCTTCACCCCGGATGATGATGCCGCTCCTTTCATGTTCGGGTTAGGAACAGTTTTCGCACTATCACGTCAGTTCAGAGCCGAGTTTCGCAGGGCAGCGTCTTGCCGCATGTCCTGTTTTCTGTTTACACCTAAGACCTCCCGCAGTTGATGAAGGAACTAGGTGTCAAATTTAAAAGTGTTTCCAATGATGTTAAAGTTTACAGGTCTTTGAGATCGGAGACGGATCTTGCATTGATTCAAAAAGCCATCGATGCGGTCTTAGGTTGGTCGAAGACATGGGAATACCCCTTACGCTTGAGAAAACCGATGTTATTCATATAGGGAAAGATCAGGTCTGCAACAGCTATCACATGGGCGACGTCGAGCTCAGGAGAACTGGTTGCGTCACGGACTAGGGTTTTATAATAGATCGCGAACTACCAATGTACTTTGTTTCGACTACCACTGTAGATAAATAGCGAATAAAGCTGAGTCGAGGCTTTTTCAACTGCTAAGAAGTCTTTATACCAAGGACCCGTGCCGCCTAATAAGTGGTTATAAAGCCTTCATCCGCCCCATGCTAAAGTATGACAGGGCTATTTTCTATCCGCGTGATAAAAGTCTATCTCAAGATTGGAGATCATCAAAAATAGTTTTACTTGAAAGGTTCTACCTATAACGCTATACCTAGAGAGCCTGTAAGGGACAAAATATTCGGCTTCGAGTCTCTGCAATGTAGAAGAAAAACTGATCTAGTGACAGCATTAAAAATTATCACAGGCAGGTTGTTAGTTGATGCGCAAACTTTCTTCACATTACTCCCGTCAACAACTAGAGGAGGTGGACTAAAACTTTCGCTCCTAATTCTAGATCTTCCATTAGGAAGAAGTTTTTCACACCGCAGGCTTTTTCAGAGTTCGCTAAATTTTTCAAAAAGTATCCGTTGGCAAACACCACCCCTCGACTGAAGAGAAATCCTAACATGTACTACGCTCAGGGTCTCATTTCCAATGTATTAGTATACCATATTTTTCTCTACGCACTTGGTTAGGCGACATCTTTTTGGAAGGTTGGTCATTTGATTGCTTTTTCTTTTTACTTTGTTATTCAACCTACTAATTCATTTTTGTTGCTCGCTTTGTGGAATACTCATGTGTTGTTATCCAGTCTGTTCAACGCAGTTCATTATTTGATGCTTTTTACCTCCATGTGCTCATGCGCATGGAATCAATCTAGATATGAATCGATAAGGAAAAGATATGATAATACAATGGCAATTAGGTTGTGGACCACATCTGAAATCCTGGTCAAAAAGGAGTAGCACCCATATCTAGTAACAGCAAAAAATTATGTTTAGGCGGCTCAGGCATTATAAATACATACATGCGGCAGAACCCAAGTCGGCAGGTGGCGCAAGAACTGAGCTCGAGGATTAAAAAGCACTTATACAGGGTTTGTTGAAGGTAACACAAACTTTTTATAATGTAGCAAACAACCACAGCATCCCAGAGCCCAAACGATCAACATTTGGATGTGTTTGAAAATACACTGATTTACCTGAAAATTATTACGATAACAATGGAGATGTTGCGCACTCTAGAGACTAAAATAGATTGGAACGTGTCGAATGAGGTTAGCGTTCCTACCAAATACTAGAAGAGAAAGGGGTCTGTACAGAAACTTGCGTGCTCGCCGTGCGTGCAGATGGAGAACGCATGCATGCAAAGGAAAAAAGTCAACGTTAAGAATAATAGATCAAGACACTAGGCCATAATCAAAGCAGCCTCATCGGTGTACTTAGAGGCACATTACGCAATTACCTCTAGAAGCTTCGAGATTTGTAGGGTGCAATGCAAGCATTTCCCCTTACGAGGATGGACAGTGATAAGTTTGATTCACAGCAAGGCGTGATTTCCTACGCGGCGAAATATTTTGCGCCAAGAGTAAACAAAAGAGTGATCACGCTACACTCGTAATAGAAAGACGCATTCAGCAAACCATGGGTGTACTTAAACGGATCACAACCAAAACAGCTGTAAAATCCATCCCGACAATGAATTAGCCACGCATTTAGGATAAGATTTAGGACTGCTCAAAATGTATACCACTCTACTATTGACTGATTAGTCCTGAGACTCATGAGGCCAACAGATTTTGTGCACATGGAAATAAGTACCTCTGACCACGAGTGAAGTAGAGAGAGCTAATACTCTTTTTTCTGCTCGCGGCGAAAAATATGGAATCTTCCTTCTTACACTCGAACGGAACGCTTCTGATGGAAATATAGAAGTTTATAGCCAATGCCCCTATACATAGAGCTGAAGATAAAGCGATAAAGGAAGGACCATCGATAGCACTCAGTAAAAAAAAGCTCCTCAGCTCTTTATACGCCAGTTGTAGTGGTAGAGATCGGCTGCACTAGTTTGCATGAAAGCACGCTCAATTCTGATCGAGTCTCTGTCGAACGACATCATATGTATAAAAGACGGAGCAAAATGTTTAACGTGTAAACGTTAAGTTGATTTTGATTCAGATCACTATACAGCGGGCCTCCAAGTATCCCATGACAATTATCCTGCTAATGTAAGAAACGCGCAGAAAATCATTTGGATAGCCTGTATCACACATAAAAGCAGCAATTCCGCGCCACCATACGTAAAGAGGAAAAAGGTGGCTTTACAGTATCCCTTACTATTGAGATTACTTCCAACCTTATCGTCAACAACTAAACCTCTTCGCGTCTAAATCTCCTACTTTGTTGTCAAAAAATCCCGTGCGACTTTCGCCCTTATATGAATAGGATGTGCGCTTCTAGAATGGAACAAGATATTCGACGAAACGTCGTTTTCGCTTGTAAAATATTGCCAAAGCAAAAAATGGTGCTTTCCAATGCTGCTTCGATGAGATCTCGAACTTCGGTGGTGAGAAACCCCATCATCGTGATATGGCTTTCATTATCTTCGAAGAGAAACAACACATACTTCAGTGCCATCGCGTTAATCACGTTCGTGTATAAGGATACTCCATCAAAGCTCACGTAGGAGGCTCCCGTCGGTATGGAGAGTGATGGACTGACAAAATTAGTTCTTCAACGAACAATTTGCGCTACCACGAATCGCAAAGGTGGCAGAAGCAAACGAATTGAAAGCTACCTTAGTCCATTTGCTCATTCGCTCCAAGATGCGATAGTCAGTCTCGTCTTGACTTCATTCAATGGAAGGGACGGTGTTCTTGTTGTTATCGAAACTTTGTGCGTCTTCATCAAGTTGTGATGTGTCGGTACCGTTGGAACCGAACCGTACAGTCGTATTGCCATTTCAGGACTTATAATTCTTTATTGTCGATATCACGGTCTTCACCCTCTTGCACACCTCTTCGAATGCAGACAAAGTGCTTTCTTCGTATACGGCGTCGTCTGACAGCACTCGTTTTGGTAGTCGAGCTGCTGCACTTGTCTCCAACGGTGTACATCGAAACATCCTTCGCTTATAATAAATTCACCATCCCTCTGCATTCAGTGAGCGTGAGATCACTGCGATAAGGCTCACTCATCGCGTTCCGATAATTCGTTGGAGTTCGTGCTTGAGAACTGCTACTTTGGGGCCGATTTCACGTGAACGTTGATATTCTTATGAATTTTCGTTTTCGTTCGAATGGTGTCGAGACATTGAAGTTGCTCGTCAGTCAAGTACGGGCGGTCCTCGATGTGCTTCAGCGTAAGTGATAAGCAAGGTGATGTAGTCTACAATGCGCAGTTTCTATAACTCGGTTGTTCACACCTGGTGTTATTGCAAGAGATGGCGCGGACTAATCGCCCATGGAGAAGAAAGAAGCTTATAAAGTCTTTGTTTACGAACTACAGTTGTATATCGGACATGGATGTTCACGCCCGCACAGTCACAAGATGACATGCGCCTGACGTTGACATTCCAAAATTTGTTCCAGTATCGACTCCATTTTCGTCGGTATCGACTTTACAGTGACTGCGTCTTGGTTATCCAAGACGCAGTCACTGAGAGAAATAAATGTACTGAAAGAACTCAGTACATTTATTTCTTGTTATATCCGATATTGCCATAATTTCCTTTTCCACTTTCCTTGCTACTTAGTATCTACAAAACGAAATGGATAATTCAGAGCAGGTTCAGGTAATAAGGATATTGATACCGTTGTATAGATTCCACCTATTCATCTGGTAGTCAGTTTTGAAACATTTATAGTCAGTCTAAAGTCTTTTATTAGTAGTTTTTACGGTCATTCTCCAATGGCACCAAGTATGTCTGTATGGATATGGGGCCTCACTTCTGATAACTATTTCTTTGCCGGGTCTTTCTTATCCTTTAAGCTATGGAATTAAACTTTGCAAGCAATTAATTTGCTCGGCTGGTTGAACTCTCACTGCTAAGGCAGAGATTTCTGTGGCGCAAAGTTTCATAGTCAATATACTCCCTTTCACGTTATAACCCTAGTTGAATACACAAGTCCGTCACATACATAATGCATCAAGGTGCTAAGTGGATTGGGGGTACCACGCGGCGGCGCGGCAAACTTTCTCGTCTGCGCCCTCTCCAGCGAGATAGTGGAGAAAGAAGAGTAGTCGAGCCCGTAATGGTGTTTGGGGACGTTTTGTAGCTTTTTTATGTTATAGCTGTGCATTTTTCACCTAATTTTAAGAAGGGGGGGGGGAACTCCGGGGTGGGTGAGCCAATTGGATGTTCAATTTTATCTCATCTCAGCTTTTGCACGAGATAACCGTCTCACCCACCCCCCGGAGCCCCTCCCCTTCTTAAAAATAGGTTTTACCGGCTCAGAACAAGTGTATCCATAATATGGAAGTATATCAACATGTGCCAAGAGTTAGTCTGCTCTAAATCACAAACACACCAGTGCAACCTCACCATCCCTTCCAAGACTCAGGCCCACTACTTTCTTGCTGGAGAGGGCGCAGACGAGAAAGGGTGCCGCGCTGTTTCAGCTTCAACAGCTTTCGAACACTTCTTCACCACACAACATTGTAAACTGTTGCCATAGTAGGCTAAGCTTGACAGATTAGCAATAATAAGTAACGTTGGGTGTGACTTTTCGCTTTATTTTTTCGACTGATAAATCATAAACATGATCGTCATTAAGGTATGGGTCTACATGGGGACGCTTTGCTGTTATTGTCTTGCTTGCTTGGTGTCCCGTTGAGTTTTGCCAGTACCGTGAGGGCTAGGACGAGTGCAATTTCCCTCATCTGTAAGATTAGGAAGCCCATAATTGATTGTTTTATCCTTTGCATGACGAACGAAACGACCATTGGGCTTGTTATATGGATCACAGTAATGAGACAAAGGATAATAGTGAGGATCTTGTCCGTGGTTCGCTAAGAAGCATTTGTAATTGCTTTGTACCTGGATTGGACTTCGTTGATCTG